CACAGGAAACAAAATTAAAATGTATTCAACCATCTGGTACAAATACAAAGACGCCCAACGAGCCCAAATTAGTTGGTACTCAATCATCAGGTGCAAGGATCAGCGAAACAAAGGAAACAAAATTGTCAGGTATTAAGCCATCAGGTACAGATATGACGAGCAAAGATCCACAGGTAACACAATCAGTGTGTACTCCATCAACAGATACTAATACCACGATCAGAGAACTACAGCGAACAAGTGCAACTGACACTCCACCAAAGGGCACAAATACAAACACCAAAGAACCACAGGGAACAAGTGCAACTGACACTCCACCAAAGGGCACAAATACAAAGACCAAAGAACCACAGGGAACAAGTGCAACTGACACTCCACCAAAGGGCACAAATACAAAGACCAAAGAACCACAGGGAACAAGTGCAACTGACACTCCACCAAAGGGCACAAATACAAAGACCAAAGAACCACAGGGAACAACATCACCGGGTGCTCAACTATCGGGGTTAAGTACGAGTATCAACAAGCAGGAAACAGCATTAGCAGGCACCGAATCACCGGGCTCAAATACGAAGACCAACCAGACCCAAGGAGCTGAGGTATCATGTGATACAAATAAGACCATAGAGTCAAAGGAAACATATTTGGGAGGTGCTAAATCACAACTTCCAAATATTACAACCGAGAAGCCACTGGAAACAAATGTAGTGAACACTGAATCACTGCGAAAGGATACAATAACCAGCCAAGGTACTCAACCATCAAGGGATAAGGCCACAAATGAGCCCCAAAGAACAGAATCGCCAAGTACTCAATCCGTACAGACTCCAACTGTTAAATCACCTGGCAACAAATCATGTGATGCAGTACCGCTGTCACGTGAGGCAAAAGTCTCAGAAGTGAGCACTCAGCATAAGGAAGAAACAGGGTCACGTGACGTCACACAAAAGCCCTTTGATGAGCCAACTGGCGCTAACGTAACAACAGGTACAAAGTCATCAGTTCAAAAGTCGCCCCATGCAARCTCACAACATTCAAAACTGACGAAAAGTACTTCAAAATGTAAAGATGGCAAAACATCGTCTGTACCCAAATCATTTCCTCCCAAATCAGGGAGAGCTCTTCRCTCTAACTCATCACACCATTCTCATGAGACACCAYGYACGGAACTTCAAACCATCCTACCCTACAAATACAAGAAAACTAAMACAAGAAAAACAGTTAGTAAAAAATAACAAATGAATACTTACATAATATACTTATAAGCGTTGTGACAAATCTTTTATTCAGGAGAATACTTGAATTCAGATAAAAAACAAAAGGGGGTCGATCAATCAAAGCATTCTGGGAGATCCTTTCTCAAGAGTCTGATAAAACGTTGTGTAAATAGAAATAATTAAAATATGGTTGATAGGCATTTATTTATTACATATGATATCTTCTTTGTACATTGTACTAATTATAGTCCTTGGAGAAGTGTAAGCAGTAAAATCATGTGTACGTTTAATAAATACTATGATATAAAACCCACGAGATGGATGAATGAATCTTGATTTGAATGSTTCCTTTTTGAAACTATGGTGAAGATTTCGTTTCTGCTTGAAAGTCTGGTAACCACGCCYTGACCCTTTGTCTCATTTCTGTTCTTCTTTTTTCTCTTTTCCTTTCCTCCATTACCATTGGAATTAGCTTTTTCCAATATTTCAGTGCAAGCTTTTGTAAACGCCTGAGATAATGAGAAAAATGAATAAACATCAGGCCTAAATGAATGAATAAATTGCATTGAAATTATACGTTTTCTACTTTGAAAATACTTGCCAAAGATCTCGTTTGTTGACAAGTAAGAAGAAAATGCAACCAGCTCAAACACACAAAACTCGAAAAGAGTCTATTCAGATACACAGCACTTTAAGAAAAGAACTTACAAATCATTGTGCTCGTCGGCTTGTCGTTCTTTCTCCCAATAAAGTATCTGTTCAGTAGTGATGTAATCTTGCCATTTATGGAAATACTTCTTAACCAAAATGTCCGAGCAATAATCTTCGGCTACCATTTCCAGTCTTACCATATGTTGACCATACTGTGGATTGCACAACAAACATTACTCGTTTTCAAATACTTTTAGGAATTCATAAACTTTTATACCAAACCAAGAAGAACACTACGTCTTACATTCAGCCTTGGGTTCAAATTCATCCGACTTTCCTTCAACTTCCTTCAAATTTTCATACTCTTATCACATGAAAAATAAACAAATTTATAACTTAAGAGTACCTTTCGCCAGGARTTCCAGCTTCGTTTGATAAGTATCTTCCGATATAACAGCTCAGCAGCTTGATTCTTTGCCGCTTTATTTTCCCGGGWAATTTGTAGCCATGGATAAAAACACGTGATCACAAGTGCCTGGGAATGGTGTTCCACTGCACTTGACATATTCTGATGTGCCATAGCAACCAGCTGTTTCCATGGTGAAAGTCCGTACTTTATTAATAAGGTTCTACAGTAATGTTCTGTGGCCTTAGAGTTAAGAGTTCGGAGTTCCTCAATTCGACGTTGTTTCTCCTGTTCACGCTATGGGTATAAAAATGTAACTTGTATTATTAATATATCTATCAGTAATTCATTATTTTGGTTGCCAGATTGTTCAAAATTCGACAAAAATAATCCTGGGTTTACTATTACAGGGAAAACTCTAAAGCATCTGTTGTTACCGCAAAGGCCCCTACTTTTCATTTATAATTTGTAGTGTGAACATTTCTTAAAGTGCTTATAACCCCTAAAATGACAAAAATTGTGGCTAATCTTGAAGATGTCATGAATGCATTCCTGTGGTCAGAATTTGATTTCTTCAAAACTTGAATATTTTATAGATTTTTAATAAATATTTTTTAGCGAGGTCGGACGTGTATTTTAGGCCTGGGGCGATATCCGGAAATGACGACAAGAGAGGTAGTGTAATAACGGAAGTGAAGTCGTTAACGGTATTTGTCTTGTAAACATATGATCGACCTATTCCACGGCTTTCTCTT